CTAATAGGCCCTAACCATTAGGCTGATCAAAAAATTTTCAAGCACATTTATATTGTTGTAAAAACGCTGACATGTGAAAATGTAAAATTTCAAGATAAATATGTTTTGCCACTAACAGAAATAGTGAGGGAGGGCTCTCAGGTCCATTTTTTTGCTTTCTGATACATCCTGGCCTCCTCTCCACCCACAGATAATGGCTCAGTGGGTAGCGGAGGTGCTCGCCCCCTGTGAGAGCCTTGTGCTCCAGTTTGGCCTCTGCTTTGGAAATAGTTTCACTATTGAGCTGGTCTTTTTTTTTTCTTCTTCTTCTTTCAGAAAAAACCCCTCAAACGCTGTCTGTTTCATTCTTACACAAAACAACTGCCCAAATCCCAGTTCTCTTTTAAGGAATGGATGTTTTCCAGCACACCATTTTTTCAGGGACTGTTCTATTAGTGATAAAGTCACCGTGTGTGCTAAAAGCAGACATAGCTCACTAATTGTTGCTGGCCATCCAGCACGCTTCCTCCCCTGCTAGGTGAGACAGGAGCAGGCGTGCAGGAATTGAATTTATTCTTGGAGGGATTTTAAAATATTTCATTTCAGAATCACTTGACGACTGTGCAGCAAAGCCCTTTACATCTAATTTGCCTCTCCTCGATGCATGCGTTTAACTCTCCTACTCTCTACTCATAATATCATAGGAGTGCAATATTATATATTTATGATTTGATGATCATGGCCTGATTTTAAAGCTCACACAAGCTGTGCACGCTCGGTGCCTCCGGGAGCCACACCGGGCGCAGGCAGGAAGAGGGCCTTCCCCTCACACCCCCAAGTTCCCGCTGCCCCACCAACACCTCCCAACCCCCCGGCGGGGAGCGGCTCCCCCGACCCCGAGGCGGGGGGTGGTAGGGAAACCCGGGCCGCCGTGAGGAGGAGGGCAGCGGGCCAGGGCCGGCAGCCGCGGACCCCCGCTGCCGCCCGCTCTCCGCCTCACTGCCGGCGCGGCGCGGCCTGGCTGCAGGCGGACCCCCCGATCAACTTCCCCCCGCGCAACGAAGGGACGCGGGGGCAGCCGGCACGGAGCTCCCGCCTAACCCCCCCGCTCCCCAGGGGCTGCAACAGCTCTGCCTCGGGGCGGGCGGGCTCCGGCGTGCCCCTCGGGCGGAGGGCGTAGAGGCGCGGGGGCGGGCCGGCAGCTCGTCCCGGCCCCGGCCGGGGGCCATGGAGTACCGCGGGCCCCGTGCCCGGCCGGGCAGCTCCGACCACGGGCCGGGCCGCGGCCGCTCGGCGCTCCGGCGGCGCGGGGCTCTCCGGGCGGGTGGGGAGGAGGGGAGGGCCGGCGGTGGGGGATTCCTGGCCCCCCCAAAGGAGCGGGGGGGGGGGGGGGGGGGGAGGGGCGGGGGGGGGGGGATTCCTGGCCCCCCAAAGGAGGTGGGGGAGGCGGGGGAGGGGAGGCGAGGGGGAGGGGAGGCTGGGCTCCCGGAGAACGAGACGGGCACTCGCGCAAAATCCTGCGGCTTCAGAGCAGCCCTGGCGGGCAGGGTAAGTGCTCTGGGGAGCGCCCCTGCCCCGAGGGGTGGGAGCGGGGAGGGATCCCGGCGGCCGCCCCGGGCGGGGTCTGCCCGCGGCTGGGGCGGGGGCACGGCGAAGGGCCCCACTCCCCGCTGCGGGGTCGGTTGGAGGCGGCGGGGTTCGAGCCTCGGCGCTGCCTTCCCCGGCTGGGGACCGCGGAGAAGGGGGGATGGGTGTGCGTGCACGGCCGTGCCAGGATCTGGATCCCCCCGCCTGCCCACCCCCAAGCGCGTCAGGGCTTCGCCTCTCCCAGCCGAGCCTCCCCGCGGCTTCTCCGCGCTCCTTAAAAAATAGATACGTATGCCCCGAAGCCGGAGAGAGTGAGGCGGTCCGGCAGGGGGAAGGGCTTTCCGAGGAGCAGGGGCTGCCGAGAGGCGGAGGGAAGCGCCCCGCGGCTCCCCGCGCCCTGCCTCCATGCCGCTCTGCCGCCGCTCGCCTTCCGCCGGGCCGGAGGAAGGGCTGCGCGAAGGTAAATCCGGGCTGTCAGCCGCCAAGCGGAGCGCTGCCCGCCCGGCCTCCGCCTCTCTCCGGCCGCGGGGCTGAGGGGGAAAGCGGCCGTGCTCCCGCCTGGAAGTTACTTTGTTAGCGAGTTCCCGCGGAGGCTGCGAGCCGCGGGTCGGAGGGAGGGCGGCTCCGTCGGCTACGGGCAGGTGCGAGGGCACGGACCGCCCAGAGGGAGCCCTGGAGCAGCGGGTGCGGCAGCTCGGCCCGGGGAAGGGGCGGTGGGAGCGGGAGAACTTTGCGGGGTGGTAGGAAAGGATCTGGTGACCTCCAAAGTTTTGTTCCGGGAGGAGAGCATTCAGTAAGTTGCTCAGAATTCGTGCTGATCTTCGTGTCGTGCATCTGGCTGCTGCTTGGTACCCGGCACGCTCCGAGCAGCGGAGCGAGGAAGAAAATAGAAGATTGAAGAGAGTTAGGTAAAGGGTTCGTTGATTTTGATGTATTTCACTGTTTTCTTTATGTCTGCGTTTCTGCGGTTTGCACGTTGAACCAGCAGCATGAAATACATTTTTAAATACATATATTTGTGCGTGGCCAACATAGGAGATAAGAATGAGAAACGTGCAGAGAGCGGGCAGGTTTCAGTTCTCTTTGGTAAATGATCAGTAGTTGAAGGTTTCTGCGTACACCGCACATATCTTGATAATACCTTAATTGAAAGATCTGCTGATAACATCCAGTATTGATAACCACTTCAACTTCAGTTAATGCCTAATGAATTTAGTAAGTAATTTAGGCTACAGAGCAAAGGAGCTTTAGTTATTCTGGATAACTGGGCAAGATTATTAAACTTTGTGATAAGCTCCTGGTGAAGTGAGCTCAGTTTCTCAAGAGAGTATCAGTAGGTATTTAAAATGCAGGACTGCATAGAAAATGTGTATGGCTGGGATTTGGCTTCCAAAATGAGTGCATCTTTTGAGAAGACTGTTCAGTAGTCATTACAGGGCTGTAACGTGTGCTGGACCTGCACGTGTTAAACTGTGCCGTGATGTAAATTTGCTGGCAGTGTAGGTATGTATTTTTTTATTTTACATATGATTTTTTATTATTATTATTAAATACGATGGCTATCCTGTGTATGTTACGTAAATGAACTGATTGATTGTAATCATTAGCCACAGAATTTAAATGGTGTGTTTAAACAATTATAGCTTTGCTTTTCTCATTTCCTTGGTTGTCTCAGGCTATTTGAGACAGAATTTTAAAATTTCTTGCTTGTACACCAGTCTGCCTCTTCTCTGTGCTTTCCTTCAGTCTGATTTAAAGCATTGTAACTGCTGTGAATACCTGTACAGATTCACATGAAGAAAAGCACCTGTGTTAAAGATAAACAATTGTTCCTGTTAGACTAGAGCAAACCCTTCGTGCCCTGCATGAAAACTTGTTAAAGTGTTATTGTAGGATGCTGTAGTACCAAACAACAAACAACACCAGAGAATGCACAGATAAAGCTGGTGCTCTGATCTTTGTTTAAACAGGTCATGGTTTTTCTTTAATGCTGTGTGCTCATTACAGGAACTGTCAGCAGGAATGTAGAGTGGACCAGAGTTCTGATTTGGAATACATTGCCTATTCTGACATTGATGTTTCTGCTTCTTGGGTTAATGATTATAGTGCCGTTTGTGATCATATTTACCTAACAGAATTCATTGTAAAGAATTGGAAAAAAAGTGCATATTATGTCCTCTTAGGAAAGGAATATGACTGGATTTGCTGCCTCAGATGCAGTCCCTCTCACCTGAAGACTTACACAGGAATGGGCTTTTCTCTACTGTAGTAGAGCATGCGGTGTTATATGGAATGGTTTCTGTTTTTTATGTCAGCTAGAGTTTTGCCACTGAATTATGAGGAACCTCAAATTCCTTAGAACCAGCTGACCACTTAATTGATGCAGATACTATCTGCGAGAAGAAACTATCAGTGAATAAAAATGTGTATTTAAATTTGAGGATTTCAGTATTTTTGTACATGAAATCAGTTTTCATCTCAAATGATTAATACACATAGTGGTAATTCCCTGCAGTTCATCTGATTCCTGTTAAACTGTATTTCAAAGAATTGCAAGCAGCCAGATTCAGGGAGGATATGTAAAATAATCTGAGGGAAGAGTCTTTCTGCATGGTACTGTTACATTAAGATGTATTAGGCTGTTACAATGTACAGTTTGAGGTCTCCTGAGAAGACCAAGTATAGTGGTGGAAACTGTCATTTGCATATACAGCAGGTTGGGTTTTGTGAACGTTGTCCATGGGTGAGTTGGGTCTGTGCTGCAGTGTATAAAAGTGATATGGTCTCTAATCGTTTCTAACTTAAATACACGTTCCTGTTTCAATCCTGAATCTTCCAGGTTTGTTTTGAAATATAAGCAAGGCTATTATTGTAAGGGAGTCCTTTAAGGACACTGGACTGTTATTGTGTGACTTCCTCTTAGAAGGTCATCCTTAGAGGCTAATGTTATTATAACTAAAATACATGCGAATGCAATGCTTGGGTAAGGTTACAGAGTGACAGTCCAGTGTAAGACTGCAAAAAGGAGCAGAGCTCTTAGTGTAATGACTATTCACCAGCTTCTGCAGTGACCATCTCCGGAGGGTGAAGCAGTTCATCCTCTTGTGACTGCTCACTGCTTGACCTCATTGTTGAAACTGTCAACAAGTGTGACAGTTTTGCTGTGATTTGATGTGGCAGTGGGAATTATATTAGGATAAACAAATAACCATCATGCTGTATGTGTAGTAACTTGCAGTTGTAGCTGATTTGGTCTTCGTTATGCTAACCTAAATACAGAATGCTTCACTATTTAAAATACCAGTATTTACCATGGGAGTAAAATTGGGTTCATAATGTCATTTAATTGGTCATCTTATTTAGATTTTCTTTTTTAAGAGTTGTAATACATACTGTACATTTCAGTTGCAAGTATTTGCCACCTACTGATTATGTCTTTTTAGTTTATACATTTCTGCTAATAAGATTACTGTATTAAACCTATATGACTGTTTTGCAAGCTGTTTTGATGCAGCATGCTCTCCTGACTTTTCAAGTTCGGTTATGTGCCATGCATGTATTCCAGCTTCTCTTACAGCAGGTGAGGGTCTTGCCATTCAGCCAAAGACTGGAGCCAGCAGAGCAGCTGTAGAAGCAGCGTACGAAGGAGACCAATGGTTACTGATATATATGACTGTTTTTTCTTTGCCTTATCTTAATTGGTCGCTTTGCTCAAGATCCCTCTTTGCCAGCTCTCAGTCGCTTTACTTTGTGTTCTCTCTGGCTCAAACATCCTACATAGCACTTAATTTTCTTTTTTCCTCTTCTCACCGGCTCTATCATACCTTTTTTTCTTTTTTCTTTTTTCTTTTTTCTTTTTTCTTTTTTCTTTTTTCTTTTTTCTTTTTTCTTTTTTCTTTTTTCTTTTTTCTTTTTCTTATTTGTGATACTAATCCTGCTTATTTTTTCATTGTCTTCTTAAATAAATGGAAGGAATGTAATGTTCTGTCGTTGCGTTGATCATTTTCTTCTACATTGCTGTATCATTTTTTTCCCACATCCTTTGTTGAGTTTTGGTAGACTGTAGACTCTTTGGGGCAGAAGCTTTTTGCTGCTGTTTGATTGTACAGTACTAATGTAGTTTCTTCTTGGATTTCAATTGGTTTGTGGACACTCGTGTAGCAGTAACTAATAATACTGGAATTATGTCTTGTTTGTGTGACAGCCTTCCTTCTGGTTTTGCGGTAAACCAAAAATATGTTGCTCAAAGCTTATCTTCACAGTATCACTCTTCTGAGATATATCTCAGTTTTTCCCTCAGCACATGTACTGAATCCCTAGTGTGAGTTGGTTTTGGTAAAAGTTCAAGATACCTTGCCTGCTGGAGCGGGAGGAGGATGGATTAAGACCCAGCTACTGCCAGTAGTTAACAAAATAGTAAAACCTGAATACTTAGTAGAAGATCTGACAACAGCAAAATACATTCGGGCTTTACCAGATTGATCAAGTAAAAGGTAGAAAGAAAAAGAAAATCCAGGAATGTCTAGTAGTTTAATTTCACTGCTTTGATGTTTTCCTCCTAAATATTTTTTTTCATTTTGGTCTCCCTTTACTTTTCACCACTGGCTTTGTTTTAGCATCTTTTGGGTCAAATGAGGATTTGTAGTCCGTCCAAATAAAATTGTCAAAAGAGTTTTTCGAACAGCCAGCAAATGAGGTGATGCAGTGTGTGTATGGCTCAGAGCCACAGTTCAGCAGCAGCTGGTCCAGCATTTTGCAGTGCAAAAGCTACCACCTGAGTTACCTCAGTTGGAGTGAAGTGCTGTGGATGTGCTGTCTCGCTGTAGGTTTTCTCCTGATTTTTGTTTCTCTCACGAATAGCCTCTTCAGTTTTAGGGAGAGCAGTGATTTGCAGCATCCTGTTGTGGAAGAAGGCACTGTAGGACTGGGTCTTCCTGATCTCCAATACTCCGCCTCAGAGCTGTGTACCTGGGGCTTCTGTGTTATCTATCCTCTTTCCTTAAAGGAAGAGATTTAGTTATCTTTGTCTCAGTTTCCCATGGAGCTTGGAGGGGGGGCTCTATGTGGGTGTGACCTCATGTGTACAAGGAGTGAATGGTCCAACTTCTGTGTTCTTTTTTTTCTATCAGTCCTGGGGAGGGTACTTGGAAAAACAAACAGGGCAAACCCACTGACTCTCTTCCTGGATGGTCAGACAATCATCAGATAATAATCAGATGTCATGAAGGATTTCAACTGAATAAATAAAGCTGAAGGATTGAAAGGTATAAACAATTAAAATAATAGGACAATGTACTTAATTTTCAAAGTTTTGTGTCCAAATATATATATAAAGCTGTTAAAAAGATTTCTTGATTCCTTTTAATAAGATTATCCTTAAGGTAGTATCACTGAAGGTATATTTACATGTGAGCTGTTGTATATTCTGATTTACACATGTTTGCACGCTTGTACTTTGGCATTTCATTCATCTTCAGCTACAGGTATTAGACTCTTATTTTCCCATTCTTGCATATTGACATAGAGATCAGCAAACTTTCAAGACTGTTCAGTGTTAGTTTTTTTCCTGAAATCAGAGGGAAATGTCAGCAACAGAAATTCATCCAAATCTGAGCAATGCTGCTGGACAAAAAGGGAAGACTCTGTGAGCTGTCCTGCTGGCATCAACATGCCTTTGTGTGAAGCAGCAACTCTATCTCTGGCTGCCCTCAGAATGTGGGAATTGCTGCCTGTTTTGCTGTCTGCTACTTCGGTCCTCAGCCACCCTAGTACCAGCACTGCTGTGCACTGCTGCACTGCTGGCCCATGGGCTAACCCTGCTGGTGGAGGACGCTATTTTTGAGTGCTTGCTTTAGAGTGACTTGAACTGACTGCTAGGCATTTAGTATTAGGCTTTGTCATATTCTGATAAAATACTGGCATCGGAGCAAGCAGGCTAGATCATTTGGATTTATTTTGCCCTCAGGTGTGAATGACCCAATCAGCTAAATTCTGTGCATTTCTATGCTATTTCCATGGAAATTAGTTTGGATAAATTCTGTGGCATAGGTAACTTGAATTTGACCTGGTGATGCTTGTCCAGATAAAGGCTAAGAAATTAATGTTAGGCAGTTCTCACAAAAGGGTATAGAACAAAGATCGTCAGTTGCACATTTAAACCAAACTCTGTCTTCCTAAATATATGATATTTCAGTACTTATATATGCATTTTCTAAGCAAATATTTTAAGAGATTCGAGAGCTTCGTCAGATGACATGCCCAAATTGCAGACTGAAATGTGGAATCACTGCACCACAGTCTTAGTTTACTCCTATTGAAATGTCTATTTTTGGTAATGTTTCCAGATAACCTGTATTTTAGCTTTTTTATTTTTATTTTTATTTTTTTTAATTAAGATGAGTACTGTCATTTTGGGACTTGAAAGTTTTCTTGTATGAGCTTGGGATCTTCAGTAGCATAGCAGATTTTGAAATACTACCAGGGATGAGAGCTAATTTTTTAGAGTGAAGAATGAGTTTTGTGGCTTTTAGATATATTTATTTAAAATTTCCTTCCTTAGCGGTAATTACTTAAATAGATAAGCTATGTTGGCAGATATTTTGGGATAAATAGAGCAACATCGAGCAAAGCAGTATATTTTTCAGGGAAAAGATTTTTCCTTAAGAGAAATGAATTCATGTAAATATTTTATTCAAATATGGTGTTTTATATGTTCAGGCAAGATTGTATGTAGGGTTACTCTAAAACATTTAGCCTTGGCAAATGTTTAGCCTGTTTGTTGATCTTAGAGTGTTGCAGTGTTTAAAATGCATTTGGTGTATTGTAAAGTCAACGTTTAAGAAATAGACAAACGCATATTATTAGTGATATTTTTAAAATTTAATTGAATAAATTAACTGTTATTTGTATAGATGAGAACTTGGTTCAGAAAATGATACTCCCGATAATCCCAAATAAAATAAAATTTTCATAAATAGAATGCTCAGTCATTGTGATTTTTGTTAACCTTGGTAAGTAAATTAGCACATGTAATTTCAAATCATACAATCATCATTCAAAATAAGACAAGCTAAGAAGGTTTTAAAGTGATAATTGTTTTAAATCAACACAGTTAAATTTCATAGGCAAATGTCTAATTTTGGTGTTTTCTGAATCCATCCATCTCTTTTTGTGGATGCCAGGTCAGAACTTAGACACAGAGTAGATACAGTATTCCTTCTGAGGAAACTCCAAAGAAGTGAACGTAAGGGCGTATTTCCAAAAGACAAATTATCTAATTTCCTACTTGCTTTCTCTATAAAATATTTGCATGACAGTTAAAGCTAACAAGTACTAGCAAACAGTGTTTTTTATTTATGAAGTAATGAGAGAAATGTGTATAATACTTGTGCTTGAGAGCAATGGAAGAAAACTAGTTTGGAGTAAAAGTTCATTTCAGTGACGAATGTTGTCATGCTGTGTTTGACAGGTCATTGTAATCAGCAAAGAAGAGGAACAATGTATTTTTGCATGGTGAGGGATAGCTTGGAGGATTTGTTTTTATTTTTTCCTAATGCATGTTAAGGCAATTATAATTACAGAGAAATAAAAAGTCTCATATAAGTAAACGGATCTTTTCACATTACGAAACAGGTTGCTCTGTGACTTGCAGATCTGCAGTTAAGAAATAGATGGTATAAATGAAGAGACACCAAAGCATTCCTTGATAGATGAAATACAAGATTTGATAGATTGTGCGTTTCTTCTCATTGCAGTTGGTAGGATTTTGAGGCGTACAGGTAATTGAGAATTATGTCTGCTTTTTGTGGTTATTTATCTGGGAGTAACATCTGGTGAAAAGATACAGTCACAGAAATGAGTATTATTTGATAACTGTTAGCAAATTTAGGTTCGCTAGTGCAGAAGACCATCTCAGATGTGTTCTTTAAGATGGTCCCCTTAATAAATTACGGAGATGATTTAGCTTCTTCACACATCTTCTGAAGAGAGCTGAAACTGGAAGGCAGGATGCTTAGGGTGTCTATCCACTGTAGACAGAACATAAGAAAAAGTTTCTAAAAACGATGACCAGAGCATAGCAGAGTGTATGTGCTCTAGTTAACAGGTGAGCCATAGTAGGGAGGCATTTTAAAAGTTTTATTCAGATTCTTGACCTTTAGACAACAAGCCCAAACATCAATCAGTATCCTTACATGTTGTGCCCTGAGAAGCAGACAAAGCAATGTATTTTGCCGCCTCCGGGCCCTCACAGAATTAACTGGTGTGCTCGTTCCACTTTTATTCTGGTGATAAACCTGCTCCACAGAACTCATTCTAATGTACACATCTATTTGCTGCTTAACAGCAGGGATTTCTTGAAACATGTGACTTTGATGTGGTGCTGCTCTTTGGTCTCTACTGAGCAGATCTGAGGCACAAAGGCAGCCCGGGGCCTCGTGCCAGGCCTGGTGCTTGTGCCAGGCCCCTGCGTGTGCCGTGGATCGAGGTCTGGAGGCTTGAGGGCTGTCGCCTTGGCACGTTGCACCAGCGCTAAACTGACGTTTAGGAAAACTAACAATTCTCAGATGCTGTCCTGCTTCTGTACCTTAGCAGGGCTAGCTTTCCAAGCAGGATTTCTAGCTCCCTGTATTCATAACATAGAACTCTGGGAATTTGGTAAGGGTTAAGGCACCGTAAATGACATCACACGTTATAAAATGACAATTCGGATATCCTTGAGGAATCTGTTGGTTTTTACAATATTGTTTCATACTCATTGTTACAAGTTACGTATATGTAAAGCAGTTGCCTTGGGGAAAGGAGGCTTGTAGGTGCATATTGCACTTTAGAACATTGCACTTGTTGACTTTTTAAATGCAATTGGTACAAAAAATTGTACTCATTTAGAGGGCCTAATAATCCCATCAGTAGAAGTGACATGACTGACCGTAGAACCTACGAGTGTCTCTATGATGATGCTGCCTTCACTTCAAAGTCCACGATTGTGTTAAGAGCATTCAGATTCCTCATTTGTCAAGTGAATTTGCTTGGTCTCTTAAGGGAAGACTTGGCGGTTTTTGTTTGCCAGGACTTGCATTTCATTTCAGAAAATGAAGAGAAGGAAGAAGAGAATGTATCACTTTGGAAAAGCTTTTATCTGCAGAGTGATTTGCTTGGCTCATCCTTTCCCACAGAATAATGTCTTTTTAGGATTGTTTCAGCGTTCATTTTCTGATGATAGAACTGGAAATAGCAGCCCAATTCCATCGATTAGTATGGACTATGTGAAATGGATATTTTCAACAGGAAAAAGAATAGTTTTCACCCTACTTCTCATAGTAATCACTTCACTGGATCCATTATGTTCACTTATTACTGGACAGTCTATAATAATCTGTTTGTGTTGGGGGGAGGAGGGATTTAAACCAAAAAATAAACATCAGTGATTTGTTATCACAAAGCCACTGGGGGTTTTAAGAATGTTACTATGACAATTGGTACCACTGCTGTTGAATACTCTGTGGCACTTCCCCTCCCCCCATTTTTTAAAAATGAAGAGCCTGCTTCTCTTTGTGTAGAGGATGACCTGACAGCCTGTGAAGAACAGTTTACCCTCAGTATAGTGGGCAGCCTGAACTCTGAGTAAAGCTCTAGGAGGGGTTTCTGCTTATCAGTTTCCAAAATTACCAGTATTCAGTTTCTATTGGAAAGTGTTCCCGTGACAGGGAGTTGGACTAGATGGTCTTTAAGGTACTTCTCACCTCAGACCATTCTACAATTCTGTGATTTGCACAAGAAGCACGTGTGTGACTATGTGGTCTGTCACAAGCTCTCGTGTGCTTCGTTAAGGTATTTTACTGCTGTTGTCTCACTGGCTCTCCCTGAAAAAATATAGCTTTGATGTTTTATAGCTGCATGAAGGTGCCTTTTTTTTTACTACTGCATTTTATTTCTTCATTGCGTCCCCAAATCCCAGCTCGTCATACTCTGAACAAAATGTGTTTTCTTTAGCTGCCTCTGCCACTGACCTAGTACAAGCTTCTCTTCTTACTTCATGGTATCGCAGTGTTGCTGATGCAAAATCTGGCAGCTTCCCTCTTCAACTTTGTTGCTGTGATGTGCTCCAGCCATGTTAAGCCTTTTGATCACCATATTTTTTGTAACCTGGCAAAGTTCTTTGCTCAACAGGTAACTCCATCGGAGTTTTATTTCTTAATTTGTAGCTTCTTTGTTTTTATCATCAATGTCATCATCACCATCAGTATTTTATCTTGATTTCTAATTATTGTTTCAGTGACATCTGCTTGAGCTGTGTTGTTCTTAAGTCTGGATTCTTATATCCTTTTTCTGGAATAATTGTCAAGAAGTCTTGGTATTGTTTGTAGGCTTGAGACAAATAGTAGATGGTAGCAATAGAGATGATGGAATAAGATCTGATGAGAGACACTGGACAAGAGAATGAGCTGGAGGATGAACATAGAATGAAACAGAATCCAGGAGTGAAGAAGTGAGATTAAAATAAAATATTACCCTGGAGTGGGAAGGGAAGGGAAGGGAAGGGAAGGGAAGGGAAGGGAAGGGAGGGAAGGGAAGGGAAGGGAAGGGAAGGGAAGGGAAGGGAAAGGGGTGGATAGAAAGGCTGGAGAATTGATGTAAAAACAAATAAGCTGGCTATACTAGAAATTTCCAGGCTGAAAAAGTAAGAAAATCTTATTGTGTTTGTTGTTGTTGTTGTTGTTTGTTTGTTTTTTGAGAATTTAATTCTGCAAATGACTTAAATATATGTCTGAATTGAAGCACCTGCCTGGTCCAGTAATTCCTCAGAATAGATGGTGACCCATATAGTTTATAGCCTTGTGCAAAGCCTGCTGAAGGCGGTCTAGCAGTGTCCGTTGTATACAGCGGGCTTTGGATCAGGCTTCTGAACCTCTGAGCACGCATTTAAGGAAGCACCTGAAAGATAATGCATGGAGAACATTCCTGACATCAGTAAGGAAATGGCGTAGCTGGTTTAATAGCTTTTTCTCAGTCTGTGATTCTAACAGCCAGGTTTGTGATATTTATTTTAGTATTCATGTTCTTGCAGTCCTTTTTACATTTCCCTGTTTTTCTCTGGCAGACATCCCGCAGCTCCATAAGTCTGGGGGAAGAGGATGGTTAGCACGTTGTTGCTGTGGGGATTTGAGTCTTAGTGCTTTGTGTTGGTAATGCTGGGCATATAAATTTTAAAACTTGCATACTAGAGATGCAGATAATTATTTCCCCGCTACATTTCATACTCTGGTCTAGGCAAGAAAGAAATTTCAGAATATTAAAAGAAGAGAAAGTTATGATTGTGGGGACCATTGGAAATGGAAACAGCAAGAGGGGTGTAATGGGTATAAGTCTAGTTATCAGTCAAGCTAGAAAAAGACAGCTTGTTCTGTCGAACACCAAGAATGTTCGTAGTCAGCCAACCACTTATGCAGGAAAGCAGCCCTAGACTGAAAGGTAAGGTTCAAAGACATCTGTGTATGTTTCTGAAATGAGCTTGAATGAAGCTTGCTATTGAATTATGCTTACTGATTATGCATGTTACAGTATTTGATTTTTGCTTAGCATAAGCTATTCATGCGATTGCTAGTTATCTTATTTTTATTGCAGTATCTGTCTCTTTTTTTTTCTCCCCACGCCCTTTGTCTTGGATGCTTTTTATGTGTCCAGAGTTGACACTGGGTGACTGTCATTTGGCAGAAGACTTAGCAATGCTGTGGTCTTTCTCTGTTTTTTTTTTCTTTTCCCCTTAAGTGAGACATGCTGCCTTCCAATTTCCTACATGTTCGTGTGGTGAACTTCTTGCTGAATGTCTGTGGCTAGCATCCTCACAGGCTTGCCTAATGGTGTGATTCACATGCTCTCCCATGTGCAAGGATTGATTCCCTGCTTAAAGGAACTCTTCAGCACTAAGTGGTGTATTGGTGGTGCACTTGCCGTGCTTAGTTTTTGTTTGCAAACAAAGTGGAAAAAAACATTATTTTGAATTAGTTTGTGTTGATAAGCACTGATTTCCCTTCACTTGGAAAGAGAAAGCAGAGCTTAAGAGTTGACATTGGGGTGCCAGAATCCATCTGCTTCTCCTTTCCTTTGATGTATCACTTGAGAGCAATCGTAGAAGACAGGACTAAACAGAAGGGTAACAAAAACATGTCTCAGCTGCTTTGGGCACTGACTGTTTCCTAAGGCCAATGGGAGATTCTAGGTCCCATCGGGCAGTGCCTTAATGCCTTTACAGCTTCAGTTCAGCTATGTCTAAGGTGGGCGTGAGCCTTGAATTGTAAAACACAGGGTGTTTTTAAGGTAATCTGAAATCCTCACATGGAGCTGTGGGCTCATATATTATTAATCATACTGGAGAATATTTCTAGAAGTCTCCAGTCCTAATGTTTTCTCTCAAACACAAGTAGGTTCACTAGGAGCAGTTTACCCCCTATAAAATGCCTGACCGTGCCCATTCAAACTTCTTTACAAATGCTTCATTTGTTACAGGAAGCTCCTCAGGGAGGATTCTTCACATCTGCCATCATAATTTCTTATTTCCTAAGCGCTGCAATTTGTACTTGATTATTCTTACAAGAATCGTGCCTCCCTTCCCTCCCCCTGCTCTGGCACATTCCATTGTGCTGCTGCTTGTTCGTCTAGCCTGCACAGAGCATCTGAGAGTGTTTAAATCCAAATTTTTCTTTGCTGTTATTCTATCATTTCTTTACCCCACTCACTTCTGGGGGGGGGGGGGAGAGGTGGAGGAGGGGCAGCTGCTTTTTTATTCTCTGACAGTTTTCCTGCGGGTTGTTAGCGGCAGCAAGTTGTCATCATTTTGTAGCCATTCAGCAAGTAACAAAAACGAGCTGAATCTCTCATTCCAGTTTTCTAAGAACAAAGTTTCCCAAAACAAAAATACACCACCACTTCTTGGAGCACTTAACATGTCCAATAGATAGAAGGACTGAAGCCCGGGTTTTTGAAGATACTTCGGTGAAGGTACTTCGGTACTTTGGATACTTCCCACTAGAACTGAATTAGACCTAAGTACCTATAAATAGCTTTAAAACTTTGAGTGACTATGAAGGCCTTCCTCATCCATCACTTGGCAATGGTCCCATCAGAATGGAAGTAATTCATATCAGCAAGGTCACATAAAAAACCTGTAGTTCTGCTTTTCAGAAACTGCTCATATCAGACGGACGGCTGCATTCTACCATAGCTTTTCTTGAAATACAGCTTCTGAAGCAGATTACTTATATTTGCTAGAGGAAAAAAGCCCTTGCTTGCATGAAAGTAAATATTTAAGGCAGACAACTTTTAAAAAAGACACAACATTATGCGGCAAAATACCCACCTGTATTCCTTATAATCCATTTTTTATTAAAACTGAGAAATAAAAGTAAAATTCACAATTTAATTGCTTTCTGCTGTTTCTAGGGGATACTCTTTACATTCCATTTGGTTTCACTTTGCAGTTCCTCTGCCCCATTTTCAGTGCTGTTGTTATAGACATATGTAACCTTCAGAGAACATTTATTCCCAAACATAAAACCTCTATGGATTTTACTTTTTGATATTTAATAACATTTACCTGTGTGTTAGCCTTCAAATCACTTTTTTTTTTTTTTTTTTTTTTACCCCCATTGAATCCAGATTCAATGGGGCTAGTGCTAAGAAGAGAATTTATTTTTTATTGTTTAAAAAAATTAACTTTTGTTTTACCCTTCAAATAACTTTTTTTTTTTTTTTTTTTTTTCCCCCCATTGAATCCAGATTCAATGGGGCTAGTGCTAAGAAGAGAATGTGTTTGAAATGGGGAGGTTGTCGTATATATATCAGGAGGTCCTCCAGGGTCTGCAGAGCCAGGATCATGTGTGTGGAAGGTTGAGTTTGTTTTATTCCTTCGGATTTGAAGAACAACCATTTGTGTTGCATCCCATTATTAAATGGCATAGACTTTCTTAAGAATTGGTAGATCTCATTCTTTTTAATTAGATCTCATTGTAGTCACTCATGGATGTGTATTCAGTTTTAGGTTTGGGGTTTTCTTGGAGGAAGATGGGTTACAAGCATTCAACAGTTCAATCAGGAAAAAAAAAAAGTAGATGTGTTGATGAGACATTAATATTTGACGCACCATTCTGTTTTAGATCTGTATTAAATGTCTGAAATATTTGAGCAAGTTGTCTCCTGTATTCTGTTGCAAGCTTACTTCCCCCACCCACTTTCCGCCCTCAACTGAAGTATGTTCATCAGATTGCTGAATTGGAAGGGTTTGTAATGAATTCTTTGAGCTCTGCCTCTTCCTCCTTACTCCCTCCTTGATTTTCATCTCATAATAAAGCAAATCTGAAAACAGATTAACTGTCAAGCAGTTATGCTCCTTCTCTTCCATCTACTTTTAGGTTTTCCAAAGAGAGGTGTGCTGATTAGATAAGATGTCATGGTCTTCTCCCGTCGATGTAGGAAGATAGCAGATATGATCGCCTGAGAAAGCAGAGCTACCCAGTGCAAGCATGGCTTTCGCCCAGTCACACATTATGGCAGCTAGAAGGCATCAGCACAGTAGACTCATAATTGAAGTGGATGAGTACAGCTCCAACCCCACACAGGCTTTCACGTTCTACAACATTAACCAGGGACGTTTTCAGCCCCCACATGTGCAAATGTAAGTATTATAGTTTTGTTATTGCTTTAGCACAGCCTTCTGAATTGTTATTGCCTTGTCAATGTGGTATTTGATGGACCAGTCAAAAAGTATGCAAAGAAAACTGTTTTGCTGCCTTTCTAATAATTACTATAATGATACAAAGTCAGTCTGTTTGGGAAGTATAAGTACTTTGATAGAAAGATCACTCCACCAGCATAACTTTAATACATAATAATATTAAAAAAATAAATAAACATCAAGCCATGGTAATAAAACAAGAAATTCTACAAGGCTGATACTTTCTGCAATCTTAATAGTTGTTTGTTTGCATTGTGCGCTTGCCTATTGATGGAAATAGCTGTTGAAATACCAAGCTCGTATCTGTACAACAGATATTGTTTGGTTAGTTATATTGCAGACACATAGAAGGAAAAAATGACATCAATAAGTAAAATGGTGTGGGCATCCATCCGACAACTTACTTTCATACCAATGTGCTGAAGATGCCAAGTGCTTAAAGAGTAATTAAAATAATGTGTTTGTTTCTGACTTCTTATATAATGACAGCATCAGTAAAATTAACTGCTCTAAATGATTTACTTGTAATGTAAAGTGGAGAATTATAATTACGAAATGAAACCTGCCATAAAATTTAAAGCCAGAAGGAAGAGCAAAACAGTAAAGCTATTACAAATAAATTAAGTATAAAATTCTACTGTAAAATATTTTTATAGGGAATAAAAATGTCTGCACCATTTTATTGTGTTTATTAAAGGAAAAAGCAGCCTTATCTGTAGATGAGAAGACTGGTGTTCACTTTTTTTTTTTTTAAGGAAAGTTTTTTTCTTTTATTGTTTTTAAGTCTGAATAAATTATCCCCTCATTCACATTTTTGGTATTTAATATGAATTTATAATTTCCAGACATAGACCACGATTTCTGCAGTTGAAAATGTCAGCAGTTATGAGTGGTTGAATGCTGTGTGTCTGTTTAGTGAATGCTTATGTATATTTTTTGGCATAAATAGATACTGTGTAAAAAAAAAATAATCTGGAGACTGACATAGAGCAGGGTGATGAGCAAACACTTGCTTTTTGGGGGCAGTGTGTTAGCTTGTAATCTGTGTTGGGGTTTTTAGGTACTATTGAAATGCAAACAGTAGAATGAGTTGAGTGTCAGCAGTGGGAAACATCTTTTGTTTATAGAGTTGGCAAATGTTAGTAAAAGCACAAACAAACAAGTGTGGGTTCAGAAGTACTTTTATAAATGAAAATACTAAATGCAGGTTGCTTTTTTTGTTGAAGCTTAGCCATTCTTCATGTACATTCAGGCAGTTCCTGGGCACTTGTGAACTTGTTCGCCAGATTTAAAAGCTGTGTTTTGTTGTGCTGAAAATGGGTTATTTATTAGAATCACAGAATCACCAAGATTGGAAAAGACCTCCAAGATCATCCAGTCCAACTGTCCACCTACCACCAGTATTTCTCGCTAAGCCACATCCCTCAGAACCACATCTAAATAATTCTTGAACACCTCCAAGGATGGTGACTCACCACCTCCCTGGGCAGCCCATTAAAGCATCTGACCATCCTTTCAGAGAAAAAGTTTTTCCTAAAATCCAACCTGAACTTCCCATGGTACAACTTGAGACCTCTTGTCCTATCATGAGTTACGCAGGAGAAGAGTCTGACCCTCATGTCGCCACAATCTCCTTTCATGTTGTTACTGTTTTCATGTTGTTACTTTTGTTGGAAGCAAAAAGGTCTCCCCTGAGCCTCCTCTTCTCCAGACTAAACAAGTATCCACTTGGTACTCAACAATTCACAGCTTGAATTTCTAACAAATGATGAACAAATCATAGTACCAGAGAGCTGAGAAAATCAACTGCATGATACAAGTTCAGCACCTAAGCAAATAGTTGAGAATAAGCTATTCTTAGAAAATTGTTCCTTAGAAGAATTTAGCACTCTCTTACAAATGATTAACGCCCTTGAAGAAGCCTGTGCACATAGGTTAAATAAATTAAAATGTATACCACAATCTCACCTGCTCTTTTCTTGGTACAGAAATCGTAAAGAATGTTTTTGACTACCAGCAGCATTGCTTTTGCTTCCAATTAGTGAATAGAACAGTGACAAAGAAGGGGCAGGTATATGCAAAATATATATACAAAGGTCAAAATATCTAGGTTGCAGCCAATCGTAAACACTCTCCAGATAGATCCATTAACATTTGAACTTGTGGTAAAATACTCATACTGCAGTTATTTCTGGTACTCATCTACTGAATCCAGTTCTGGAGCTCTTCTTTGGTCCTTGGTGCAGTTCTACTTAACTTTTTGGCATACTGACAGCACTTTCCTAACCCCATCTTAGTCCGTCATTCCCATGTTTGTGAGGTGACTGGACTGCCACTGACAAGAGGGGTGGCAAATTCTGACAGTGTTCCCAAGTTCATCAGTCACTCCTAAGGAGTTCCCTTATTCTGTTTTTTGGGAACCTCCTCTAAAGTCTGGTCTAAAAACTCACTCTTATTGTTCTCTGTTGTTTTTTTTTTCTATGAGGTTTTAACTTTGCTTTTCAGTTTCTTTGCAAGTTTACACGTTGTTTTATAGAAAAATAGCATTTTGGCAAAAATAATTAGATCTTTCTTCCTCTGCTTGTGCTGCAAGCAGTGCATTGGGTGTTGGTGTGACAGCTGCTGTGGCAATGTGTTACCCAAAAATATTGGGATCCAGCCTTCAGAAATCATTTCTAATACAACTTAGATGCATTTGTGAAATTTGACACGTTTTTACCTATATGTGGACTCAGTGTGTGCATATCACTTCAACATGAAAATGTGCATCTCATTTATTTGTGGGTTTTTTTTTTTTAGTATTGGTATCTTTTCTGCATGAACATTATCTGACCCACTGCACGGGCTCTGAAAGTTAAGTGTACCTCAGCAACCAGGAAAATGCTGTCACACCTCCCCCCTCCCTATCCAAACTATAAGAAACAGCAAATGTAATTGCACACTTGGTTTGCTGTGATAAGTCCCTTGTTTTTCCATTCGGTTTTAATGCAGGGAAATACACGCTACCCCTGAGGAGGAACTCTGTGAACTAAATGCAGTACCCTTCATGCAGATTGCACCTTAAGACAGCCCTCACTCAGTAGTCCAAAACCCACCATTCTCCATCTTTTGGTACCTCCCCTCACAGTCCATAGAGCTCCCTCTGTGGCAGCTCTCATCCCTGGGAAAACAGAGGCATTTTTAATACCTAGTTGCAGTCATCTAACTGCACTGTTTGAGGTTGTGACCTCTCATACTCCTTAACACCCATCTAACTCTTTTCTGTGGCCCTCACGCAGCCTACATACTCCCTCAGCCATGCACATCATGTTTGCAGCTTCTGTGTCTCGGGGTCCAAATGTTTCACTTTTTTGGCTGAGTTTTCCAGTTTCTATTATGCGTTGCTTAGATGTACCACTGACATGCGCATAATGCTAGGGGCTCATTGGGTAGATCTGATTGTGGCTGGCTTTTCTCCTTACTCACATTTCATTATTTTCTGCTCAGAAACAGGAAGTTTGGAGAGTTGAAAGGTACTCATAATGGTTTCTCCAGTATTCCTGTAAAAAAAAAAAAGTAACAAAACCACCTCACAAGTAGCTGATGCTTATTGTGCTGGATTCAAAACAAAACAAAGCCACTCCACTTCTTCCTAAAACATGTAAGAAAGATGAATGCAATGTAATTTATTCAAACTGGATTTTTTAATTACAAAAAATAGAATATTTTACATATATTTGATATATATGAAGTCTTAGATTTTATCCATTTATCATGTGAAGTTGTCAAAAATACCTCAGTTTATCCATCCATAAATTTAATAGAATTCTTCTTTCACTTAGGGAAAAGATTTGAAATGATTATCTTATGTCTCTCAAGTAATAATATGTCTTTGGGAAATTTACCCAGTAAACCCAGGGGCAGTATCATTAGTAACAAAGATCTCTAACTTTTTTCTGTGTTTATTTATATCACAGTAAGATCCTGAATTGAAGCACAACCATCAAGGAATATATTATATATGGCAATAGTGAACAAAACTAATTTTGATTTTCCTTTCAGGATAACTGTTTTAAAAGTAAAATAATTCAGAATATTTCTGTATGCCTTTCTGGTTCCTGGTGACGTAAATATAACTCTTGCATCTCTGACTTTTTGATTTTATTCCACCAGAATTCCCAAACTGGAATAGCAGATATGGTATAGCTGTGTACGATACATGTGCTTTTGTATATTGTAACAAACTATAGCTTGAGGGTAAAAAGACTGAATGAGCTGGAAATAAGTATGCCTCCGGTAGCAGAGAGGTGTTCTCTGCTTTCCTCTTCTGTTCATAAGTTGTAACTCTCACCAAACTTGGTCAGATTGTTTCTTTTTCTCAGTTCCAAATACTGACATTGGTTTCTGAACAATGCATCCTCACCCCTCACAGCATCTGATTTCTTTTAGTATAATTAAGCCCAGAAAGTTACCACATTTATCCTGACAATAGTCAGACTTGAACATGCATTTACAGCTGTTGTCGGGAGGATTCTTATCTTTCTTTGCATTAACAGACTGAAACATATCTCCAAAATGTGTTAATTAAATTTGCTGGAATTATGTAACTTGCAGAAAAAAAAAGTTATAATTAAAAAACCGCATTTAAAATGTATTTATGTATCTGAAATAAATCTTTTTCCCATGTACCATGTAATCATATTTAAACAGTGAAACAGAATAGCACCGTTCCTTTGAATCTCTCGATGCCTTTGATTTATTTGTAAGTATTTGTTTTAGAGTTGCTGCCACAGTTCAGTCTCTCTTGCTTAATCTCTTTAAATTAATCCAACAAATACTGAGAATGTTGTGATGCGAACATCAAGAATTTTTACCCCTCCCATTAGCGTTAGATTTGTTTTAATAAATCCCTTCCATCAGACAGATCTATAAGACTGTGTAATCTTTTGTGAAGGTAAAAATTAGTATTAGAATTACAAAGTAGACGCTGGAAGTTCATAAGTACTTTATAACCTTGTTGTGATGCATTTCCTGCAGGGTTGATCCGGTGCCCCATGATGCTCCCAAACCTCCAGGGTATACTCGATTTGTCTGCATTTCTGATACTCACTCGAGAACTGATCCCATCCAAATGCCATATGGAGATGTGTTAATACATGCTGGTGATTTCACTGAGCTGGGACTTCCTAGTGAAGTAAAAAAATTCAACGAGTGGCTAGGTAGGTATTGAAATCTGTGTGGATTTGAAAGTAAATTTGTTTACTGAATGTATCTGCCCCTTCTGCCTCCCAGTAAAAACCACCACGCAGTCAGGAATGATGAATATTAATTTGTCTTAAATTTGAATGGCAATGAGCAAGAATCAGATATTTCTTTTTCTTTTTTTTTTTTTACAAGTTTTTTGGTTTTTTTTTTTGCTTTTTTTTTTTTGCATTTTTCCAACGGAGCAAATAAGATTTGTGAGACTATTCATCTGTTCTGCCTTCACACTCTCAAGTGTACATTAAGCAACTTCGTGGTGTTAGCAACAATTTCAGTCAGTAGGCCTTTAATGATTTACATAAAACCTCCTACATACATTGTTATGGCTTTGCTTCCCTGCAAAAAAAAAAAAAAAAGTTGTTGTGACTGAAAACATTTGTCTGTTTAACCCTGGAGGCTTATAGTTTTTTTATCTGGGGCTCAGCTGCACCACAGCAATGAATTCCAAATAAAGCAAAACGTGTGCCCGTGGTTGCTGTCTTGGATGTAGCAGACCAGATGTAGATGCCTTCTGTAGGCAACTGTTGGCATTGTAACTGAAATTCTGTTCCACTGGGCAAGAGAGTGGTGATTTACATGCGCTTCTGCAGTGTTCTGTATATTCTAAAAAAAAAATGTCAGTGAAAACTGGAAAGCATTTCACTGTATCCAGACAAAAAACCCAATCGGTATTGTTCAGGCTGCAGCGTAGATACCTTAATTTAGAATAAAAACAAATTCTTGCTTCTGATACTTCATTATCCAAAAAAAGGGTCAGAGGACTTGGGAAGTGGAAAGACAGAGTTTAATGGGTTTTGGTTTTTAGAGTGATTATCTTTCCTCTAGTTTATCTTTTGTGCACTGTCCTTTTTTTTTTTTTTTTTTTTCCTGCATGCGTTCCTCACTAAGAATGCACAAAGCTGACAAACACACATAGGCTGAAAACGGATAGAAAAAAGTCAGGGCTACACAATTTCAACAAATATTTACCAGCAAAAAAATCATCAATTAAGGCCGATAAACATTTATTTCAGCTTGGAAACCGCATGACATGCCCAGCATGAAGAAATTGCATTGTTCTGTGGTCACTCAGTTAGGAGCAGCCTGTGGAAGTCTCATACTCTGCTATGGTGCCCTCTGCTCTTCTCTGTCCCCAAATGGTCTGTTGTGCAACCAAAAGCAAATTTGAATCTTATTTTGTAGATCTCTATCGTATAGTGTAACAATGCACTGAAAACAGCATATGAGATGATGCCTACCATATGGTTAACTATTCTAAATAATACTTATTTTATTTGTCTGCTAGTATGGAAAAAAAATGCCTTGGGACATCACTAGTGAGCAAAGACAGGGCTACACACATTGCTTGCTGCACAGTTTTTGTGTCCTTAGTTCTCCATCTGCCTCTCTGCTGGTCATAGCTGTACAGTGTTCTGAAGAAGTCCTTAAGCTAAAATCCTCTCAGTTTGGTTGGGAAATTTCCCAAGGCATTTCTGTGATGGTCCCTTCATCATTTTTGTTCCAAAAGAAGGCCTAATTATCTGACTTTTCCAAAGTCTGATTTCATGGTAGTGTATGGTTTGGGAAAAGGTGATCTTTGCATTTTGAGGTGTACTGTTGACAGAGCCTCTCTGGGACTGTCACGGAGTTAAGTAGATCAATCTATGCCCGTGACAGGGAGGCAGTAGGCCCTTGGGCCCCCCTCCGCCTCTACAAGATGGGAAGGAAAAGGGAAAAGGATAGGGAGATGGGAGCTGGGCTCGAGGAACAAAAAAAACAGTGGCAACGATCTATGGAGGAAAGCATATTTTACTATGATATCGGAATGCAAGATAACACAATTTAATACAATCAAATTGAAATTGAGTAAAACAAATAAAATAGGAGAGTTCCTGAGACCAAGTCGAACCTGAAAAGCTTGGTATGGTTGGAAAGCACCCACTGCAAGGCAGTAAGAGACCACCCAGCCAGGATGGGCCAGATCCCATGACTTCTGCAACATACAGGGACTGGTACCTGGAATTGGAGCATTAACACTTTAACTCCCAGTGCACTACATGATGTTATGATGTAGAATACTGAAAACGAGAAACCACAAAACCATGACAGGGACATGCATATTTAACAAGTAAAAAACCATACATATAAATATATAAGCCTATATATGCCTATATATATATAGGCTTATTGACAATTTGCAGAAAAAAAAAATACTTTTTTTGAATTAATTCTAAAATATCCAGTAGAATAATAGCTTGGAGTTGGTATGCAGGTTTCATTTGACTAGCATTAAAGGCTTTGTTTCAGTTAAAAGGTGTAAATTTTAATAATTATGCTCAATCTGATTTCAAAATGAAAGCATTAGCTTTTATTTTGAAAGGTTATTTTGTTTTAAATGAACAACTTATGAATTAATAATGCACTGAATGTTTACAAAATCTGTAGTAAATGATAAAATGGTTAAGAGCCTTCTCTTTGAGAGGAAGATTTTTCCAGACTTTTTACTGGTAGCCCGTGTTGTTGGGAAAGATGCTAGTCTGTGACAGTTTAGATTTTTCTACATGGTTTTGCAACTATAATGCCCACAGCCTGCCCAGCCTTATCCTTCTTCCTTGTCTGAACATTTCACTGGTGTCTGGAGAAAACAATTGATGCACTGACCAGGACTTTTGCTTACAGCCTCATTCTTAACTGTCACCACCAAATTTCCTTGTCTGTTGCTTCTTCCCATACCAGAGGACTGGCTTTCCCACTTGGTTATTTTGTTTTGTTTCAGTAACGTGTCTTCTGCGATCAGTAGATCATAACCTATTTATTAATGCCTCAAAATAAAGAGTAGAATATTTGTTTGTTATGCCTTCCCTCTGCTTCCTCCAGGCAGTAGGTACACACCCTACTTCTGCTGTTATGTGAGCGTTTATTCCTCCCTTATGGCATTCAGTTCTGTCACACCCCCTTGGGTCTCTGCCACTCTGGTCTGTCAGCCTGTTTCATCTTATCAGGAGGCCCTTAAGCAAGTTCAGATTTTATCTTTCTTCTCTACATAAAATTTCTGTGCCTTTTTGATGCAAAATATATTTTACATTAACATCATTAACTTCCGTGGAGCTTATGCTTCTATCAAGCACATGCTCAAGTGTTATGCTGATAGAGGCACGTTGGGCTGCTGAGTCATACCCTAAAATATGTTCTTTCTTTTTTAGGCTAACTGTATGTGGGTACACAGGAAGGCCAGATGATATATCTCTGCAGCCCATCACTGCCTTTGTCTGCCCCTCAGTCTCCTACTTTAAACTTTCAATCCTCTCACTCCTGTAGCCCTTTTCTGCATTTCATTTCAGTTCTTTTTGGTGATCAGTTGTTTACTTTCCCTGGTTTTGTTTTCTGAAGACTCCTCCATTTTTCTCAGGAAGGGATTTGAGGTTTTACCGGTAATAGGTTGATGCTGAGCTCCGAGGGAGAGAAAAAAGGCTGGTGATAGCTGGGCATGCATATTTTCCCAGCTTTCTCTGATGGGCAGTCCAAGGACTTCCTGGACCACACCATTAAATACACATATAGTGTATTTAATAGACATATATAGTATGTGACTGTGTGAAGAACTTTGCATATTTTGAACTTACCATTGACTAGTTTCATTTGGTATTTCCTAATACTAAATGAGGCAAGTGAACAATTCCACTCTTCATTCTGCTCCAGAATTTATAGGCTCTTCCCATATTTACCCTTTCAATATTTTTCAGGCTGAAAGCTGTTTAGAAGTCCTTAGATGCCTTTGATCATCTTTGTCTTTCTTTGTACCTCTGCTTGTTCTTTATTATTTTAAAAGGTGGAGAGACTGGAATTGCACGTGCTCTGAACACATCACAGATTTATACCCCAGCATAACGAAATTTCCTATTTTGTTCTCCTTTTCTTTCTAATATTGTGGATTATTGTTTTTATTTTTGTTGATGACTGAACAATGAGATTTCATAAAATTGCCTACTCTATAAACTATTTCCTGAGCAGCAACATCCAGTTCAGAATCCATCACTTACGAATAGTTGGGATACTTTTTCCAGCAGTTACATTATTCTGCATGAATTTCTGTTCTGTTTCATCTTTCCTGTTATTGCCCAGTCGTGCAGTACGGTGATGTACTTTTGTAAGTCAGATTTCCATTTTGAACTCTTATTCAGGGTAGCTTAGAAAAAGAAGGGGAAAGGCTATGAATAGTCAAGTTTATAGAGTGGTGCTAATGAGGTCATTTCCCTCCCTTCTTTTTTGCTGAACTGACCTTTCTCCTATTTTTATGATTCTCTTTTCCCTTTTGCTGCTGAGTTTCTTTTCTGACTGTATTTTTCTTCCAAATTTGCAAATGCAGGTATTGTGAATCAGAAAAAAAAAGGAAGAGCAAAGCATGTATTACAGTAGGTGCAGTTGGAAGGCCATGAAGGCAACAAAACTTTGTAGTGACATTTTAAGGACGGATCGTGTGACAGCTTTGGACATACACTGGTTTTCCAGTATGTGCAGGGGATTTTAGTGGCATCACTTTAAACAGCTGAAAATTATTCAGGGGAATTGTAATAAATACAGATTAGTATGTAATCATGGCTAGATAAGGTGGATTATATTGTAAGGTGTGTCATGCTTCGTATGCACTGCAGCTATCCGTGTAGTCAGATATTTCATTATTTTTGTTACTTAATCTCAACCTGCATATAAATCAAATGTGCTGTGGGACGAACACAAAGACAAGCTTTCCTGCACTCATCAGATAATGAGTCTAAAACCATCTCTATTTTGTGCGTCCCATATTGTTGGCACTGGAAATTGCTTGCTTGGTTCAGTTGTTCTTGCAATTCATTTTGCTAGAGTCTGTAATATCATTTCCAAATTTTGTATGCTCCAGGACCCGCTGTCACTTTCAGCTTGTGAGTAACTTTCCTGGAAATGTAACTGAATAGCCAATCTGCAGTACACGCTGCAAGCA